TTAGTCTCTAAGGTGACACAAGTACTCCTTTTCTTTTTCCAGATACAGACTAACACGGCTGCTACTCTGAAACCAATCACCAACCATGTTGTGCAACTCCCATTTGCAGTTGGTCACAAAGTTCCTGCTGAGAGCATTGGCAATCACATTCTGAGTCCCCAACAGTAGGATAAAGTATGCAATGCACCACTTCCAGAGGTGTGTCGTTTCTGCACACAGCGTTGGGAGCCTTGTGCCTCCTCACTTGTTTATGTAGCAAATCACAGTGTTGTCATCTGACATAATGAGAACATGACAAGATTAGATGGAAGGTAAAAATACGTGGCATGCCCTACGTACTGCCCGAAATTCCAGGACGTTGATATGCATCCTGGCTTCCCAAGTGTTCCAAGCTCCTTGCATCATGTGATAGCCCACGTGGGTGCCCCAGCAATCAAACGATGCATCCATCATCACCATACTCGGACAGGATGGAAGGAAGGGCATTCCACAGCAAACCTGGAGAGAATCTGTTCACCATCGAAGGGAGGAGATTACTTCTAGTGGACCAGTGAGAACGGTGTTAATGGGTTGGCTCACAGGGGAGCATACTCCCTGCAATCATAGTTATAGACAGCAGAAGCACAGGTGAGCAAAGGCCATGACATACATGCATGCTGTCATGTGAACGAGGAGGGAGAGAAGTTCTGGCTGAGACTGGGGGTTTGGATGTCACTGAAGCAATCAGGTCCAGTTGTGTCTGGAACCTGACCTTCGGCAAATAAGCACGTGCGGAGGTTGCATCAGTGTGTGCCAATGAACTCCAGGGACTGTATATAGGGTGCAAAGTTGATTTTTCACTCACCCCTAGGGAGAAGAGGAGTAGAAGGAGCTGGGACGTCAATTCTCGAGCTTCCCTTCCGGGCCATGCCACCAGCAGCCAGTCATCCAGGTTGGGGAAGACAAGGACTCCCTGTCATCTGAGATGAGCCGCTAACACGGAGAAAACCTTCGTGGAGCAGTGGTAAGTGCAAATGGGAGAACCCTGTATTGGAAGTGCTGAGGACCCATATGAACCTCCGGAACTGTCTGTGGGTTGTGTGGATGTCGACGTGGAAGTAAGCATCCTGCATATCAAGAGCTGTAAACGACATGCCTTTTTCTAGAGAGGAAATGATGGCCGCACGCATGACCATGCAGAACTTTGGCTTGCGAATAGAACGCTTGAGGCATTGGAGATACAGACTTGGTCTACATCCCCCCTTCTTTTGGGGCACCAGGAAATAACTGGAATAGAACTCTGTGCCCTGAAAGGTTGTGGGCACTGGCTCTCCTGCTCCTCTCTGCAAAAGGGAGTTCACCTTAGGGCAAGGATACTGTCGTGAGAGTGGTCCCTGAGACAGGACTGGGGCAGAGAATGTGGAGGAGGTAGCATCAAACTCAATCACATAGCCGTGTCGAGTGACATCCAGGACCCACCTGTCCACTGTTATTGCGCTCCATGCTGGCAGAGAGAGTTTGAGACTGCCCCGAAAGGGGGTGGCTGGCAAGAGTGCTAGTGTGCAAAGTGGCCAACGGTTCTCTAAACGCACTCAGAAATATTGTTTAAAAGAAGATTGAGTATATTACGCATAGGACTGTCCCCACGGATGGGATCTTTGTACCTTTGGGCGCTTCTGTGGAGTCTCAAAGACTCGCTGGTGGTAGAACTGGGGAGCTCTGTAGCGTTGTATAGATGGCAGGCAATAAAATTTGGGCACTGGTGTATAAATGCCTAGTGATCACAGGGTGGCTCTAGAGTCTTTGAATGAGTGTAAGCAATCATCCATCTTCTGATGGAAAAGGTGTGAGTCATCAAAAGGGAGGACCTCAGTTGTGCTATGTACCTCCCTAAGGAAACCTGAGGAGTGTAACCAGCATTCCCTCCTCATGACAATTCCAGTTGCCATTGTACACGAGGACATGTCTGCGGAATCAATCACAGCCTGAAGTATAATTCTAGTGACCAACTTGCGCTCCTCCAAAACAGCTTGAAAGCGGGCACAATCTTGCTGCAGTAGCTTGTTAACAAAGTCCACCATCTGGCCAAAGCTGCGTCCCAAAGTCCTTAATCATAAGAAATTACTACAAAATCAGTAAAATCCTATGTACAAGAATAAAAACAGTTTTTCTGTAAAGTTTAGAAAGTACATCACGAAGGATGAGAGAATAGCAGAAGCTCCAACTCAAACCATGCAGCAGTGAGAAAGAACTGAAGTCATGGTTGGTCCACCCCACCCGTTATCGCCTCAGGCGAAATCATGAGACAGTACAAGGGCACATGCGTGGACCAATGGATGCTATTACTTTAAAAACCTCTGGCCTCATGTACCTGGTGCATAACTCTTAGTGGAATACAATAGGGACCATCACTCTAAGATGATGACAGAGGTCTATAAATTCATGAGTAGTGTGGAGGAAGTGAATAAGGAAGTATTATTTATCCTCTTCACATAACACAAGAACCCATGAAATTAATAGGCAGCACGTTTAAAACAAACAAGGAAGTACTTCTTCACACAACACACAATTAACCTGTGAACTCATTGTAGGGGATGTTGTGAAGGCCAAAAGTATAACACGATCAAAAGAGATTTAGATAAGTTCATGGAGGATAGTCCATCAACGATTATTAGTCAAGATGGTCAGGGATTCAACCCCATGCTCCTTGTGTCCCTAAACTTCCCGCTGGCAGAAGCTGGGACTGAATGACAGGGGATGAATCACTTGAGATTATCCGGTTCTGTTCATTCCCTCTGAAATATCTGACACTGGCCACTGTCAGAGACAGGATACTGGGCCAGATGGACAATATGGGTGTTCTTATGTTATAACAGTGTATATCACAGCCAAAGAGACTACGAAGCCAGGCCATAAAGACTATTTCATTCAGAACATTTGTTGAAAAAATAGCAGAAATACCTCTTGGAAAATCAATTTCAATATCGAGGTCTGGTTCATACGGAATATCAGGCAAGCTTGTCTGCATCTTTGTATCAGAGTTTATCAAGTCTGTTTCAATTATTACACCTGTAATTAAATAAAATAAAATAAATTACCATTTAACAGTTAATTTTCATTTTGTGGCTCTGCCAAGACAGCGCAAATACTGAATTCCTCCTCATGTACTCACTGCCAGGTAGGATGACGGCAAATCACCAGCCCAGATTTTCCAATTCTGGAGCTCTCTATTCTACTTCTTCAGTATGATTCCTTCCCAGCTAGAAAGATATCTGTTAGCCTACTCTGCCCTGCTTAATTATGGAGAATTTCTTGTTGAAGTCCAAGTTTGCAAAGCTCAGGACTGGGTAATCTAGGCTGTCTCAACCAGCCACAGAAAGCAAATTAGCATAAAGTGGGAATATAATTTGTCTTTCTGCGGCTTTGCCTGCAACAGCACAGATCCTGGACTTCTTTATAGCAGACCTTATCGAAAACAAGAGGATAAACCAGAAAAGGGAGGGGAGATGAAAGAAAACAGGAATCTTTGACCTCTTTCCCAACTTCTGTCAGAGGTACACCTTATATGAGCACACACAAGCTCTCCACAGTCAAACGCAGAGCACACAAGCTCTCCACTATCAAAGGGATCTGTCTGCAGACATTTGTATGTTCTGTCAACAGTATCTAGTGAAAGAGCAAAGGGAACTTGAGGTGGCAATCTTGCAAAGCTTGTCCAGTAACACCTTCAACTCTCCAGCTGAGGTGGTGGCCCTGGTTTTGTGAACGCTAAATTTTAATGGACATGGAAGTTCTGTAGCCTTGTAAGCCTCCTGTATCCCAGACATAAAACATTTGTCCATATCGTCTCTGGATAGTTTGAGGAAACAGCTGAAGAAGTCTAGGAAAAAAGCTTCTGGAGACCTCTCAAAAGCTTTTTAGGTTCCTGTTTGAAGGAGAGGTTTTTTCTGGTAAAATTTAGAAGCTACATAAACATATGATATGTGGGGAGAAAAAAAAGTGTGCATGGCAGGAAAGTTTGCAGAAATTCTCTCCTAGTGAAAGTCTTGAAGCATCTCATCCTCAGAATCTGAGGATGCCTCAGTGAGAGTTTCTCTCCCCCTTCAGGTGAGATGGCAGGGGGTACGGGAAGAAGGTGGGAAAGCAGTTTCACTGTCACAGCCCCAGAAATTGCATCAACTGCTTCCTTGTTCTGCTTCAGGGAGAGACTCTGCTCTTGCAGGTTTTCATAGATTCTAAGACCAGAAGAGACCATTTTTGATCATCTAGCCTGACACCCTCTATAGCACAAGCCATAGAACTTCCTCCAAATAATTCCTAGAGTGTATGAAAAACATGCAATCTTGATTTAAAAATTTGGAATCCACCACAAACCTTAGTAAACCATTAAACTGTCACCGTTAAAAATGTACCCCTTATAACGAAACGAGTCTTTAGGCACCCTGAGAGGCTGATTTTGTTCGTCACAATTGCAAAAACTGTTTCAGCCATTGCCTTGCTCGACTGAGATGGTGGATTTTTCCCTCAGCTAATAAATAACTTAAGGTGTCTACAGGAAAGAGCTACTGCAAGAACAACAATTAATTTGTTCTTTCTTTAGCCTCCTTTGGTTGATAGATAAATGGTGGTTGGACCCAGCCGCAGAAGTCACTTTCCTGCGTTTGTGGTTTTTTTAAATGAAGCAGCCGTCAAACTAGAGATGTAAAGGAAGGAGCCCTACAGAGTGAGAAAATCCTGGGTGACAATTTGTCATCCTCCTGGCTCTAAGAGCAAATGAGGAGGAGGATTCCAGCATCTACGTGGCTGCCAGCAAAGCCACAGAACAGATTTCTAAAAGTTACCTGCATCTCAAATACGATGAAATATTCTAGAAATTTGTTTAAACAGGTAAAGTTTCCAATTAATTTTAAAATTCACAAATAGCAATTTTGTATTTAATTACTGTAATATAAGAACACTATAGATATATACACACAGAAGTAAAAACACATGGATCCAAAGGCCACAGCAATAAAACATACTGTTCAAATCTGTAGACTCTGTTTTTCCATCATCTTCAGGCATCATCTCAGCTATAGTCAGTAGCTCAGCCTCCAGAGGATTTGAAGGAACTTTACCCCTCAGCTCTTCTATTGCTGCAAGGATCTTCTCATTGCTATCCAGAGTGGTGGGCAGAAAAACTGGAACTGGCACCTAAGCAGATAGGAATGAATAACTCTTTAAAAATTTCATTGTTAACAAATGATTACCAATGATGTAAGAGTTAAATGCAGAAGCTTTACATCTATCTTTTAAAAGAATCAATAGTCCAGGGTTTAGGAAGCGGCGCCCTCATTAGGGTCTAGCAGAAAAGCCAACAGTTGATAAGACCATTGAAAAACCATGAATACAGATGACCAGAGTGAAGAAAAGAGGGACAGAAATGCTATGAGAAAAATGTAGTACAATTTTGTGGTGAGAATAAAGAACAGTGCCAGGAGACTCCCGACTCCTAATCCCAGGTCTGACTCCATCTACCTACTCTTTGTGGCCCTGGACAAGTCATTACCCTCTTTTGGTGGCCTCAATTTCCCCATCTGTAAAATGTGGGAAATTCTTTTTACCTTCCTAGTCAAAGAAGTGTTGTAAGGATTATCATTTGAGTAAATCACATAGAAGATGTAGAATGCTATGTAAATTGTAAGTATTAAAAAGCTTAATTTGCTAGAAATTTTGAAATCCAAATCTTATCTTGGTTTCCATTGCAACCCTGTCATTCCCTCTTTGCTTCTACTCCCTCCTGCTAGTCTCACCCTGCCATCCCCAATGCAATCTTTCTCTTCCCCATCTTCGACCATCCAGCAGAGATGCACCAGTCAAAACTGCTACTGGAGCCAAACAGCACTGTAAGAGCTTACGTGCGTGCCAGCGGGCAGGCTGCTTACTGAAGATTGGTGAGGGAGCTGAAGTGTCACTGGGAAAAGTACTGTTCTACCTGGAAAAAAAGGTGCTGCAGCATGGTCCTAATGACGAACATGCAAATTAATAAATAATACAAATTATTCTCTGAGCTAAAGTTGAATGAAATTCAGCTTGAAAATAAGGCATGACTTACTGGAACAGGAACCATTGCTGGAACAGGAACATTTTGACTATACATGTGCATGGGTACCGGAACATAAACAGGTACAGGAACAGGCACTGGGACATATTCTTTCTTCCAATCATCTTCTATAAAAATAAGCCAAAATACTGGTAGGCACTTAAAAGTGTCTTACAATAATAGCTTGGAAAAGTTAAACTTTCTGTAGCATATTCCAAGCCAATAAAATTCAAACACATGAAATGAATGAACTGGTACTTCCACTAATATTCACTAGTTACCTGTCTGACAACATTTTGTCTGCATGTGAGGTTTACAGTATGTTGCTTTTGTCATTGTCAAAGGTTTGCAAAGAATTGCCTTGTTCTTCATCTCCTTGTTAACTGTGGGAGAAGGGGGTGGCGCTGAACCCTGGAGACAAGCAAACAATTGCATCATTATTGATTTGTTACAGCTTTTGATTTCAGATGCCAGTCAATATTTGTGTTCTAAACATATATAAGTACTGGAAAAGAAAGCAAAACACAGCAGCATTGGTGACTGCTCTTTAGTTAAAAGTTGTTTTGTATTTCCAAATGAGCTCCTTCTGTCAGAAGCATAATACAACTGTAATTTTATTTGTTCTGGGCTAATACTTTCAGAATAACTGCCTATTCCAGAATTAATTTTTAAATTTTAGTTTAAACTACAACATTGACTTCACTGCTGTTACATTATAAAAGCATAAAGAAATTGACTTGTTGGTTTACAACTTTCAAAAGCTCTAGCTTTAAACTACTTCATTAAAAACAACACAATTGAAAGGCTCGAGGCTCAAAATTTGACCCTCTTTAGAGGTGTAATAATCCATAATGAAAAGTCTTGAATTCTAATTTTTATTTTTAATTTCAGCATTCCACTGCTGATTTTTTTATCCTAAAAATATGCGATCTGGGCTCTATAGCAGTAATCCAACTCTATTTCTAGAAAAGCACTAAAAGTGATGATAAATAAATCGAAGTGGTTTTGCATGACAGAACACTACATACATTTCAATTGCTGTTAAAAATAATCCCACTGATGAACAGAGTTCTCTTCTGAAAAAGAGATTTTTCACCTATACATGGCAGTGTGAACTAAAATCAGTAGAGGAAATACTTAAGACTTACAAACGGATATTATAAAATAGTAAAATATTTTTAAAAAAATACTACAATAGTTGACAATGTACTTCCTAAAAAGTAAAGGTTAAGTCATGAGGGCTTTTAAGATGCTTTTTATTTTAAAACTGTGGACCGAATCAGTGCGTCTAGAAGCAGTTTTCTATGTATTCACTCAGAAATTTTAATCAAGATGGCTTATGGTTGACAACCCCAATTACTACAGAAATCCCAAAAAGTTTAACACATACACATTTAGACAAATTAAATATAAATTAAGATACTGTATTATATATGTCTAACTTTTAGCTCTATACAAGCTTAAATATATTTTTCTATAGCAGCAGGGAATCTGAAGGAGCCCATCTATTCTAGTCTGAAAATAAGCATCCCGAAGGTCTCAACAAAAGAGAGAAAAATAAATTAGTGTGAAATTAAAACAAGGTAACCTGGAGGAAGAGACCATTATTAAAACCCCTTTTTGTGACAATCTGATACAACCTAGTAAAATTAAAACTTGAGGTTACTCCATGCTCCACTCATGCTGTGCCTTGCTCTCCGCTACACAGTCCTGCAAAAAGTTACTCAATTATTCCCACATGCAGTCTCAATGTAGTCAATGGGACTCTGTACTGCAGTGACTGTACTTCTGAAAGTAACTATTTGCATAATCAGAGGCCTTAATTTGGGACTTTCTGCCATTCCAAAATGGGTCATAACCTTAAAATGCTCATTAATCAGTGTTTTTTTTCCCTTGTACATGTATTATATACACCTACTCATTCGGAACACAAAACATACAAAAACTATATTTTCTTGTGAATTATCTTTAAAGGGATACGCTCACATAATTCAGCAATAAAATACACAGTAGTTTGTTTTAGTGCAAGTAGTTTAAAAAGACATATGAATACAATTTTTTAAAAATTTTTTAAAACTTAAGCCAATTTAGTTTCACTGATCATGACGACAAAAAACAGCAAAAGCCCCAAAACTGAATTAATGTTTTCTATTTTAATAATTTAAAAATGTTACTTATTTTGTTGGTGTTTCTTTAAGAGTTCAAGATGTAATTTTAATATATCTAATTATATTTTATATACTTACTGTCATTTTTGTTCGGGAAATTTGACAACCCTGATCTAAAATATAAAGAGATTCAAAATTAACAGTGTTTATTTTATCAGTTTATATAAAAAGTGCATAAAATAAATTTTCAACAAAAAAATTAAGACGGTTACTATGATCCTGGTAGCACCATAGCAGAACTGCCGATTGCTGCTTTATCACAATATTACCAGACAAGCACAGCCAACTGTCTATGACAGTTGTGTTCAGTCCTAGACACAGTCTACACACAGACATTACACCCTTTTAACTACATGAGTTTCTAAATCCACTGAGTTAAATCAGTGCATACCCATGTGAATATACTCTTGATCTGGTTTAAGACTGCCTTATATCAGCTTATCTTAAATTGAGCTTAATTAATAGTGACCACTCAGGTTTAAAAGTGTACACACAAAGATGATGCACCGATCTGAATGAATTGCTTTAAAAACTGATTTAACTAAACTGGTGTCATTTCTGTGTGCGGACAACCCCTAAGTATCACTATGATCTCCACATGCACATAAGCGTCCTGCTCTTTCAAAGGATCTAGCTGCCTCCTTGTATTAAAGCAAGAGGGCATTGTGCAATTCAAAAAGATGTTGCAAGTTAAGTTCCAAAGTGGGAAAAAAATGTTTTCACCTCTAATCCCTGGTATCCCCCTTCTCCCCATGATCTAAGGACACTTGGAAAGGAAAAGACCCCAAAGTACAAGCAAAGACAAACTGGGAGTGAGGGAGGAAGAGAGGGTTCCCTGCTCCCTATCCACCATATTAAATGCAAAATTACACTAGAGCTGAAGAGAACCTAATATGAGTAAGTGTGTTCTACTATCCCCTATCATCTTGAGATTACTTGGTTTCTTTAACCAGTGTTTGGACTCAGAGCTAAACTTCAAACTGTGACTCTTGCAGTACAAGTAAGTTTTCTATATGAACAAACAAACAGCAAAGGGCAATTATTTAGCATGATCCACTGGGAACTAGTCTCTTTTTTCTTTAACATCAAACAAATTGTGTGTTTAATTCTGCCCATGCAATGTACTGAATACATGTCCACAGAATCAGAATATTAATTGACAAGTTACAGAATTTTTCACTCTAAAAACTGGCAATAAAACAAAAAGCTAACATTAAAAATCCAATACAAATAGCACAAGCAAATTTCTAACAGCAAAACAAATGTTTGGACACTCTCTAGCACAATGGGGCTGGTGCCTCTAGGATTTATCGCAAGAAAAAAATATATAATTTCATCAATTTCTGATTTCTCCTTTAACAGAAGTTTCTCCTTTGTATATACAAGTTTATATTGCTTGTAGATGTCATCTGAGCGAAAAATATTGATCCACAATTGAAATTTGTAAATTAAAAAAAAATGTCTTTTCAGAATAATGAATGTATAGTTCCTCTCGCTATTTATGATCTATAAAACATCACATACCATAATGCAAATTTTCAGGTCCTTTTTGTGTTGCCATATTAGGTTCATTTTGTTGACAGTAGAAACGTAGTAAGCAGTGCTGATCACAGAAATGTTTCATTTCTCCACGCCACTGTACTTTTTCTTTGAGAGTTCCTTGAGACTTACAACAGTCACACCTGGCAGCCTTAACATAAAGGGAGATTTTGACATTTTTCAGAGAAAGAAACCTCAGAAAAAGAACTAAACATTTTACATTTTAAAAGGATACTTAATGATGAGGCTATTTATAATTGATTCTAGAGTACTTTTAAACAGTTAAGTTTCATTTTCAATTGAGACAGCTTCTTTGCCACTTCCAGAACATTTGTGTTACCTTCTGATCTGTGAATATAGACACATTAGTCATTTGGTTTTCAACTATATAAAACTGAAAGAGGGATCAACACGATTCATTTGTTTACATGTTTTTAAGTCCATAAAACTAGCTCATCTCTGCATATTCAGCAAGATATCTATATGTCATGGAACCATTTTTAACAGGGTCCACTAAAACATTCTGCAAAACAAGAGAGGAGGACAGAGATTGAGACCTCCATAAGGTTTCTTTCCAACGGACAATGAAATAGTAATTAAGCAACAATATTGTTGTCCAGTGTTTTGTATTTGAATTATATTGTGAGCTCCTTGGTGCAGGGACCTTGTGTCTTTATCTACTTTGTGCTGTAGCAGTAGTAAAATTGTTATAAATAAATAATATGATTGTTTAAGTTTTGCCAGTTTTAGAGCAATACAAATATATATTTTGCAAATCTAACAGGAAGCTCAAGTTGCCATTTCAATGTTTCTGGTCAGGAACCCAAGGATTAGCACATAACTAAAGCTCCTCAATGGAAAAGGTCTCCTCCACACTTGGCCTTGCATTATATTATGTCTACATCAGATAGCATGACAACTTTACTTGGGCATCTACGCCAACCAAAGATAGGTTTCCTTCCTAACAAATCAAGCTTCCATTGAAGTGAATCAGTCACACTAAGTTATAATATGAATGTTGATGGTGCCAGCTGCAGTCCCTCAGGAAGCAAGCAAATCCTCATAACCACAGTGCTCTTCACATCTGTTAACACCTGCATGCCAAATGATACCAAAAACGGGAGGGGAGGGGAGTGAATACAAGGTTTAAGGGTACTTGGGAATACCAGATAGAACTGTTGAATGATACACCCTGGAAAACCCATTTAAAGCAGCACATGGTGCAACAGATATGATAATTTGTCAAAAGACATGTAGCACTGAAGTTACATATGAGGATCTGATTGCTGAGGAATTGACATTTGCACCATCAGTGTTCACAGGGTAACCAGAAAATGATACCAGGCTAATTAGTTCAAGCACAAAAGAGACTAAGTGGTGTGCTTTTATGTATATAGTGTGTATGTGTATCAGGTGAGGTATTTAGTCTCTTCTGCTTGAATTAGTGGCTTGGTGTCATTCTCTAGTGACCCTGTGAGAATTTCTGCAGAATATAAAATTTGAGCCAAGATTTTGAAATATTAAGGTGCCTATGTGTGGACTTAGGAATTGAATTTTCAGCACCTGTTTTTGAAAATACTTGCATTAAAAGTGTTTCTAACCCTTCTAGATGTGACTCAATTCAAGCACTCTCTTCCAGAGTCAACAGAAAGATTGAAACATTAGTTCTGAGAGTTGCAAACTGCTCCATTTCTCTTCAACAGGTGTTAATTCGTATGCCTCTTAATGCTAATATTACACTAACTTCTCAGCTGACCAGCTTAGTAGAAAGATCCATCTACTTTGGACTTGTAGATGGAGCTTGATGATAGCAGCATAACTCTTTCCCCAATCCGATTCCTCATGGAAAATATAAGGAACCAGATCTTGCAAAATACAGTGGAAGTGTTCTTTCTGCTGATAAGTTATTTCTCCCTCCTTGCTCTTCTCCCCCTCAGTGAAATCTTTGACATATGGACCATTCTACCCTTTAGGACTGCCCCATATTTACTTTATGCAGAGACATGTGTTTCTGCTTCTACCTATCTAACTGTGTGGTCTCTGGCAGTAGCTCCAGCTTTGTCCCAAGATGCCTTTCTCCATACTGTTCCTCAAAGTTCAATTTTTATCTCCATGATTTTCTACTTTCTCTTATCTTTACACCTCAGCTACCTTTCACACAAATAACTCAATCCCACATAGCCTTCTACACTTTTAATAACTCCTCCCTATAAGTATCCTTTCCCTTTCCTTGAACCAAATACATTTGCACCATTGTCTCAATCTCTCCCCTTTCCCTTCCTTCCATCTATCGCTATTTGGAACATTAGCATCTTTGACCAGGAATTCCCACAACTATTTGCACATCTGCCAATCATCACTTTCCCAATATTGTCCATCTGTGCCTCAGTCTTGGCTCCACCTCTGCTGAAATCTTTATCCATTCCTGACTCCCTTCTTGCCTTGATTATCATAGCTCCCTCCCCAAGTTCCAGTTCTCTAACTACAACATGTACAAAACACTGTTGCCTGCCTTCTCACATGTACAAAGTGTAAACACATTATTATCCCCAGTCTCAAACGATACTTGTCCTCACTGGGCTTGAGGATAGTTTTCAGTTTCTCTTTTAAAAAACGAATGTGCTTCATGGACTTGTTCCAATCTACTTTGGGACCTTTTGTCTCTTTGCTTCCCCGCCCCCGTTCATGCTACATTCACTTCCTCTCCTCTGACCTTTCATTAGTCTGTTGATGCACTGTTAATGCAACTTCTGTCTTCTACATCTTCCCTTCTGGAATAGTTTACCTATATCCTTGCCCTGCAACTCTCAACCTCCTTTCAAGTCCCAGTTCAACATGTATCTTTTCTCCCTTAGCTATGCTTAAATTTTCAACCTATTTTTCTACCTACTTTTATTTAACTCTGTAAACTGTAACACTGCTTGTATGAAAGACCACACACAAAAAAAAGTTGTGGTGTATAGTATACTCAGTCAACATTTGAAAGAATTCCTCTCAATATCTTCGTTATCACTATACATGATTAGCCCAATCATTAATCCCTGGTAAATTTAGGTCACCCTCTAAATACGGGGACAAGAGAGGTACAATTTCCTTTTCAACAATGGTTCAGAAGCTACAGTCAAAGAAAAAACATTTTTATCCTAATTTAGGGCTTGTCTACACTGGCACTTTACAGCGCCACAACTTTCTCGCTCAGGGGTGTGAAAAAACACTTGTGGAGGTGGTTTTTTTAGAGCGCTTGGAGAACTCTCTTCCAGTGCTTTGCCATGACTACACAAACCACGTTAAAGCGTTGCTGTGGCAGCACTGTAACGTTGCCAGTGTAGACTAGCCCTCAGAATTGAAGAAAACCCTTCACGTTATCATCCTCAGTTTTTTCAGCCAGTGCTCTTTTACAGTAAAATCAAACTACTTTATTGGAACTGTGGCCAAGTGTCACAAATCAACTAAGGAAGATTACCTTTTATATTTCTCATCTACACAGCTACTCTTTAGAATGATATCCAAACCATTGCTTTTGTATCAATAGATGTAATTACACTGATATATTAGCATAAAGGGATGCAATAGTTTAGGGAGTTGGCCTCAGGATACAGAATCCTTCACTTTCAGATCACCTTTTTCGGATTAGATAGTATCCATATTGCAAGAGCTATCACTACATTTGGCACCGATAAGCTCGTAGGTCTCTCAGCAAAGAATGACAAGGGCTGAACTACTCTTACCCTTCGAACCTCCAGATCTGGGTTGACTCGTGATAGAGTTGGACAGGGTGGGGACCTTGACATACAGCTGCTTTTGCCATACTTGCTATCTGAAGAGAGGATTTCATCCTCCACAGTTGCTACTCTGAGGCCTCTCATGAGCATTAATTTCATGTAAAAATGAAGAGGCCCCCATACCTGCTAATTACAATACACATGAGAATTTTTTCCAGTTTAAAAAAGTAGACAACAAAGAAAATGGAAACAAACTCTTGTTTAATGAACATAACGCTGGTATTAAACATTATTAGGCCATTACTACTTATTTTACTAACTAAATATATTTAAATTTCTTGAAACTCCAGTATAACATTGGATATTCCATAAGTGAGACTAACAACTCAAGCGTAAGTAACTCCTTTTAACTTTTTTTAAAGACAAAACAGCAAATGAAGTACAAATCAGGGGCGGGGGGGCAGCATCAACATCTGTCCACTCTTTCTTCCTACATTTTAAAATTATCTTTAGCTACCTGTACTTAGGAAAGGATAGTAACTAACACTTAAAACGTATATAATGTAACTGTAAAATGCAAAAAAAGCAAAAGAGATACATGCAGTGGCCTTTTTTTTTTAATTAAAAAAAGGCATTTGGCAAGTGTAGGCAGAGAGACTTTTAGCAAGATGCACAAATTTCCAAAAACCTGTGAATGTATGCATGTCTTCCCCACTGAAAAAAACCCAAACTTTATAACGATAACTGAATTAGGAAAAGGCACTAAGTAGCATCAACAAACAATGCAACTGCAACAATTAACAATTCAACAGTGTCACATAACACTAATTTTCACTCAGAAGTGTAACATCCCAAAATATAAAAATATCTGTCAAAATTTAAGACCAACAATACTATCAAAAGCATCTTCAAGGTTGCTTAAATTACATTGCCTTTGCCACACCATGGTACCAAGGCAAAGCCACTGTAATGTAAATTTCAGTTCCTTGTACCACAGTAAGTACAGCAATTCTTTTAAGCAGACTTATTGGCCCATCTGAGGCATATCCTTATCACACAAACAGAAGTGCATTTGAAGTAATAGTTTAAGTAATTCCCAAACCCAAATCAGAATCCCATCTCCGTGGAAGTTTGGATATTTTAAGCCAGTCAGGTGAACGCCCAACCAAGAGACTGGTTCAAGTACAGCAGGGCTGCAATAGATTTTCATATCAGTAGGCACTTGTTACATAAGGGATAGATTTCAATTCCTTACTCTGAGTTTAAAAACTTATTCATCCAATTAAGATAATGTATGAAAGAATGTTTGTAGTAACTTTTTTTAAAACCTGAAGCCAGTTTTTAGCCTCAACCTTTTACATGAGAGAGCAAAGAAAAAACAACAACACTGTAGTCTGCAGTGGTATTCTTTCAGGGATTCCTAACTGGACCCTATATACACATTATGCTAAATAAAGACTGTACAAGATTTCGCTGTAAAACCTCTGGAAACTGCCATTCAAAAATATCAAATATTTCTTCAGATTTGGTTCTTTTTGGAAGGCTTTATCATCTTGGATAACTGGACTGTACCTGGACCTCTAATATTTCATGCTTTTTATTGCCTTACTTCCAGGCTGTGTAGGCAGTTTTGGAAAGATGATGAATTTTGTAATCCTTCGGTTTTTGCAATTGCATCCACAAGTGTAGCTCTTGTTTTGGTATATCAAAGTAGTTTTCCAGGCTGTTCACACTAGAGATCAAATATTTTATCCAGGATACCAATGGCAGGTTAAACCCAGTCCAATTTCACTTTAACTTCTTTCCCAAAAGCTCTTAAGGCATAATCTTGGCTGGTTGTGAGTAACAAATTAGTTAAATGTCCAGAGAATTAAAAAAAAAGAAGTCACCACATTTGCTTTACACTTTTATAAGAAATCCATTTGGTCTCATTTTTCCACTTTGGCATCCTTTGCACTGGGCAATACTGAACAATTAAAGCCTATGAAGTTCACAAACAGGGGGAAAAGGGGACAGGCAAAAACAGGAACAAAGAGAAAGAACTCCGTTAACCTAATCTATCCTCATTCTATTTGAGGTACCAGCCAGCTACTATTAATGGGTTTTTCACCAACATTTTGAATACAAATTAAAATAATTTCTGATTGGCAAAAGTATTTCTATTAATTGAGGCTGAAGCAGGTTTTTTGGCAACTGCAATGTGGGCAGTTCTTTTATTAGTTTGTTTAGTAAACCACTTGGCAAGGGAAACTTGGGTTACAGACAAGTAGAAATGCTGCTCTAAGTTATGTGAAATCTGAAATGATGGAAAAAACATTTGGTTATTGTGTTGCAAATGCTGTCCTGAAGTAAGCCATATTTGCTAGACAGTCCTTGAACATATCCTCAAGTGCATTTTGTCTTTTTACACTGTGGAGCTCTTGTCAAAAATTCTAAGTTACTTGCCTTGAAGTACCAGTCTTGAAATTTTTTACAGCACTCTTCACTGCAGAAATCTCTTATTACACCATCTAGTTCCTTAGTAGCTCCCTTTTTACAGAGCTGTGAGCAGTAATTACAAGTAACACATCTCAGTCCTAACCGTCTTGCAAAATCTTGTTTATATAGCAGCTTGCATCCTGGAAAAAAGTTTTAAAAGTTAAAACAATGCTTAGGAACAGTCATTTTTATAGAATTTTTTTTTTTTTTAGGAATCAGTTGAAGTTACAAGACATATTCAAATTGAAACAGCAGTAATAGCAAAAAAGTTGGTGCTCCAGACAAATTCAGATTACACTGTAAGCTATTATCTAAACTATCAAACTTACCTGAATATATCCCCTGCACAACTTTAAGGTTATACATAATTCTTTGTATTCTTATCTCACAATATGTAGTACCGCGGCTGCTTAACAGCATTTAAAAACACAAATACCACAAGTAACCATGGAGTTGTATTTAGTTTTTGTCTTTTACATAAGCTCCCACAAAAATCCTTGGCTATGGGTATGTCTAGACCATGATAAAAGACTCACAAGAAGGCCCATGTCAGCTAGCTCAGGCTCATGGGGTTTGGACTGTGGGGCTATAAAATTGCAGTGTAGATGTTGAAGGCTCAGGTTGGAGCCCAGTGAGGGGACAGGATCTCAGAGTCCACGTTCCAACCCAAGTCTGAATGTCTACATTGCAATTTTATGCTCTGCAGCACAAGCCCCACAATCCAGAGTCAGCTGACCCAGGCTCTGAGACTCAGTGCTGCAGGTTTATCACCACAGTGTGGACATATCCTTACAGTTACTATTGTTCAGGTGCATTTCCTTAGAACACAAACAATAAAAACAAAGCACAGACTAAAACAATATTCACACCTTATACAATATAGTGATCTTCAAGCATCAGCTTGTTATCATCACTACACTCACCCACATTAACAGTCCAGTAATCTACATAACCCGTTCATTCTCAGTTTAACAATACTGTCACTCAACACACAGAACCGAGAACTGAAAATCACATTGCAATACATAATCTGAACTCAAATCTGGCAACTGGTTATTTTGTCATACAATTATCAGTATACACACAAAACTATGAATATATGAATTTTAACAAAAATTTTATATGGTTTTATTATGTTATAGTATAGATTTTTTTTTAATAATATAGCCCCAGCTCCAAGTACTCTAACAGCATGCTGGACCTGGATTCTTCAATCACCTGCTGCAACAGACCAGAAAATTCTTTCTTCATTTCAATTAAAAGGAGGCTTTTAATGCTTTAAATATGAAAAATATTACGACAACAGCCATTATGTTGTTTATTTTTATATTAAATTCTACCTTTTATGCTGTCCCCATATTTTCAGTTTTCAATATGCCACAGATTTCTGTCCTGACAAGGAATAAATGCATCATAAAAGTTGTCATGGGAAGCTGGAGGTTTTGGCAGCTGAGTAGGGGACATTTGGGTTTTTGGCACCTGGGGAAGCAAAGGTGGCAGTTTGGGATTGCTGGATAAATGCATTAGCTGCATGTAACTGCTAAAATGATCAACATTAAAATAGTTAATGTTAACAATGAAATGGTCATCTTCAGACTCCAAAGTTAACAATCCACTGAGATGACTGAAAAGTCACATCTATCACATTGTTCAGGTGATTTGCAGACTCAGGAAAAACAACATTGCATTGTTCTACAGTCAGTTCACATTTTTCAGGTTACTTTTCAATAGCATGAGGGCACTGCTCTGTGGCAAAAATTAACCAAGAGATGGAGTCAATGGCTGAGGAATACATTTGTTACCTAGTTTTTTCATCAGTTGATCTCAAGCACTTTTACAAGGCCAGTATCATTAACCTCATTTTGCTTATAGTAAGTCAAGAAATTTTGAATATGTAATAAAATGTGTTTTCTCTCTGGTGCATAATGTGGAAATGCTATTATAACTTAATTATTAAACAATATTACATTGGATGACTGAGTTAAGGTTGTCTCTCTTAGAGCCTTGATTTTGAAGTCATTAAGAGGTAAATAGGGGCCCCACAATTCCATTTTTATAGTCAGTTTACAAAGTACAACCACATTTTATGGCACTTCCACCAACTTTGATACATTACCATTTATCATTATCTTTTATTTAATGAGTCATTAAATGCATTTCTACACTGCAATAAAAGACTCATGGCTGGCCCAGGTCAGATGACTTGGGCTCAGGCTCTGGGGCTATTAAACTGCAGCGTAGACATTTGGGCTCAGGCTGGAGCCTGGAATCTGAGAACCCGCAACAGAGGACTGTGCTGGAGCCTGGGCTTCAGCCCAAGCCCAGATGTCTACTATGCAATTTTATAACCCTGAAGTCTGAGCCCTGTGAGCCCAAGTCAGCTGACCTGGGCCAGCTGCATCTGTGCTGTGGGTCTTTTATCCCACTTGCCTGTGTCCCTGTTCCCCCCCCTTAGCAAACATTACTCCAATTTCCCTTCCCTACACTTCCTGTTTGACCCCAGTTTATAAAGTAATATTCTCAGCTATACCTTAACTAATCATTTTACTAGTTAATTTAACTAACCAATCCTAACATATTGTAACATAATTCTCTAACCAATTATATCCCACTACCCTAATTAACTTACACCTAGCAAAATTAATTATACAGCAGACAGAAACAATTAGAGAACCAGATAGATTAACAATTGAAAAGTGGGGGCCCTCAACAGAAATGAGGGTTTCACAACCACTGGTAAGTGATTTCTCACCAGACAGGATGCTATCAAATTAAGTTTTCTTTAACCATCTTAAGATCTCTTTCCTTGTCTGGTGTTGATGAGCACTATCAAGACAGGATCGTCTTCCTAACAGCCCAATACCACCTTATTTCAATGTAACTGGTTTGAAATCTGAGGATGTGACCATACACTTCCCAGCTTATGGCTGCCCCTGCTGCTTAGCCAAAGGCCTTAGTCTAACAACAAGGCCTCAGACTATCCTAGTGAGAGAAGGCCCATACACAGGCAGACGTGTGATTTTGATTCTTAGCTAGTTATAGAGGTATAAAACAAAGTGATAAAAATACACCTAAGTTCTTAAAGTATAGGCCTTTATAGGCAGGCCTGAATATCTATATTCTAACATATCAAATGCTTCACTAAAATGCAAATATGCTGTATAGACACTGAATGCCAAATACAGTACAGATACATAATCATTTTATTTATTCTAACTAAAAGGCAATCAAGTTAATCTGAGATGGATTATAGAAAATCTTGGGAGTTTAAGGACACAGGCAAACAGCAATAAAAAGATTTAGTTTCTATTAGCACATGTAATATGCTGTTGGCATGATTTTTAGAAGTGCTGAGCACAAATAAATCTCACTGAAGTCAATGGAACTGCAGGTGTTCAGCACCTTGGGGAAAAAAATTAAATAATCACGGAATTCTAATACCCAGCAAAATATAAAACAGAGAGCTTGCTTAGGAAACAGTTATGCAATGAAGAATTTAGAATACTGCTTGCAAATAAATTAGACATCATCTTGAAGTGACACTGTCGCCAAAAATACTATATACAGGGGGTATCACTAAAAGTATTGGCGGTAGTAACTGCCTTCTACGCAGATCCGTTAAAGCTATGTTTGTGTTAAAAGGATTAGAGAGCAGAACCTATAGACGAGATTATGGAAATATGACATGCATAATTTAGAGACAATGTAACAATAATTATAAATACTTGAGTTACTAAATAAACAATTCCTCTTCCTTAAAAATGGGACATGTCACTTTTAAGTAGTTTGGTTTAGAAAATAAACTCTTCAAAAGAAATAAATCCAATGTAATACCCCTGAAGATGTCAGTGTTTATATTCATAATTTACTAATCAACTGTTCGGTCGTGGAAAGCTTCTTACCTGATTATTTCTTTTTTGCTAGCAGTGTCTCCTACAAATCTGACATGTGGGGCTGTTCCCCTCCCGCCTGCAATTCCAGAGGCTGTTCAGCATTGCAGCATAGACTGTGGATCACCACATGCAGCACCTTTATTCTGAAGGAGGCCTCTGACAGAGCACCATGTTGCTGCCCTACAGACTTCCACAACTGAAACAGGTGGTTTTGTATTTTCCACACACACACAGATTCAGCGATTTCAAGTTCTGAAGGGACCATAGTGATCATCTAGTCTGACCTCCTGTATAAACACAGGCCACAGAAATTCCCCAGTTCCTAGAGCAAATCTTTTAGATAAGCATCCAACCTTGATTTTAAAATTGTAAGTGATGAAGAATCAATCCATCATGACCCTTGGCAAACTGTTCCAATGATTAAGCACCCTCACTGTTAAAAATTTACATTTTATTTCCAGCCTGAATTAATCTAGCTTCAGCTTCCAGCCACTGGGTCGTGCTATACCTTTCTCTGCTAGACTGTAGAACCCATTATTAAATATTTGTTTCTTCTGTAGATACTAACCGACTATAATCAAATCAGCCCCTAACCTCCTCTTTGTTAAGATCAATAGATTGAGCTCCTTCAGTCTATCACTGTAGGGCTTTCTAATCCTTTAATCATTCTCATGACTCTTCTCTGAACTCTCTCAATTTATTAGCATCCTTCACAAATTACGGACACAGGAATTGGACACAGTACTCCAGTATCAGTCATACAAGTGACAAATACGGAGGTAAAACAACCTCTCTCCTCCTACCCCGCAGTTCACGCATCCAAGGATCACACACATTAGCCTTTTTGGCCACAGCATTGCACTGGGAGATCATGTTCAGCTGATTATCCACCATGTCCCCTAAGTCTTCCAGAGTCACTGCTTCCCAGGATAGAGTCCCCCATTATGCAAGTATGGCCTACATTCTTTATTCCCTATGGAATGTAAGGTTGTTTTGGAGTGTTTTAGAGTATGCGATCAAGTAATTTGCATTAAAAAGGTTAGACTCAAAGGGAAGATCCTAGATGGTATTCTGGACCTCTCAGGGGAATCCCAAAGATTGTGACCATGACATACGCCTCATGACTGTAGCTATAGCAATGGCTCTAGAGGCAATATCAGATGTGTCAACTGCCACTTGAAGTGATGTTCTGGCCACTTGCAGACCTTTTTCAATGAAAGCTTGGAACTTGGCCCAGTCTTCCTGCC